ACCATCTTCCCTCCTCACTATAGATTTCGCCTAACAACCGGTCATCGATGTATAGGCAAGAGGTGATGCCTCTTTCCCAGAGGAATGTGGTTGAACTTAGACCAATGGACTGGTAGACGAACGGAGAGTTTTTCCAACCGAACGGGAGTGTGGTTCCAACAAGCCACCACCCCTTCCACTCGACCCCAAAGTACTGTTGGGAGTCCTCTGACAGAAGAACATGATCATACCCCGATTTGTCATCTATCTTCGAAAGGTATGAACCAGGGTACGCAAACTGGGKGACTGACACCAGGGTGTCGAGCTTGAAAGGCGTATCCCTCATCCACAAGTTTAGGAATCTTGCGTCCACGCACAAACGAGGCTTATTAGGTTCGACCGTTAAAGGTAAGACCAGCCAAGGGGGATCGACCTTCCCAACCTCGCCCCAAGTCCGAACAGCGCCTGAACGGATGCGATCAGCGAGAGTTATCGAGATAAATTCTTGAAATCGGTCACAAGATCGATGATTTTTGAACATYTGTCTAGGGGGCGATGGCGAGTCGCACTTGATGTCTTTAAAAATTCCCTTAAATGGTTGTATAAAATCTTTAACGTTCACTCCATTTTGGAGCCATCGTAGGATCTGGTCACCTACTGGGTTGTTCTCCAAGATTTTTCCCCACATCGGGATATGCCTATGAATCTCCCCCGCCCTGAAGCTTTCAGGGTCACGAAACTGAAGCATGCCGAAATCCGCTTTTTCCCCACTTATCACTCGGTCTATGTCAGCGAGCACAGCACTGGAAGTGCTAGTCACCCTTCCTGAACTTGGGCTTCCATCCGCTTGGACCCATCTAATCTCTTTATCGTGGGCTGTTCCCTCTACACACAAGGGGTTGAAAACTATTACCAACTGTAAATAAGATCGTAAAACGAGAGTAAGGTGAAATTTTAACCCAAGCCCAGGAAAAAGGCGACCACCACACAGCTCGCTAAAGCGGGCTCAAGGGCATGCCCTAATGGGCAATACGCTTGCGGGAGGTCCTTTTCCCGAGTTAAAACAAAACAAAGCAAAATAAAACAAAGAACAAAACAAAACAAAATATCTGATGCAACTTGTTTATGCAGTAAAGTAATATACGCATTATTTCATTCGATCATCCATTTCCTCGCAAAGTCCGTTCTCACAAATCAATTCGAACCTAGTGCCACCTAGCGGCGCTTTACATTAAGTGAATTAGTGGGACAAAATCGTGCAATGTGCCCCTCCGCGTTACAGACAAAACACCTCCTCGGGCCTCGGTTACGACGGGTATACGGTGCTGTAGCCCTAGTCGTTCGCCCAGCAGCGGGAAAGCGGAATGGCGGTGTCAGAACAGAAAGTGGTACTTGAGCTACCTGGGCCACCTGAGTCGGGTTTTGAAGCCTTATAGCCTTATCGATCGTCTTAGCTATTTCCGCTTCTTCTTTACTTGCTACCAACGTAGTCAAGATCGGTTGTAAAGACGGCTCTACCACAAGTGGGCGACACTTTCGCAAGATGATATTAAATTTTGTAGCCCTCTCGTCATTTAGCTTCTGTGCCGTATAGACAACCTCTTCCAAAGCCGCTATCGCGGCGTAAGCATCGAATAAAGCCGTTGGGCGACCCACCAAAGCCTGTAG